AATTTAGAACAAATGTGGTAACCACACCCGGTATCAAGGACCCAAGAAATAGCATGAGATGAATCATTAGATTTAATTGTATATATACCTGCGAAAGACGGCTTGATCTTTCCTTCCTTGATAGCTTGCAGGTACTCTGGGCAACTTCTTTTCTAATGCCCTATTTTGTGGCAATGGTGGCACTCTGCCTCCTTTGGGTTAGAAGTAGGCTTAGCGGGATCAACTTTGGTCCCACAAGAGGAGGAACCATCTTGGGACTTTCCCTTGCGGTGGCTCTTAGACGGAGCCTTCCTCTTCTTGCCTCTTCCTTGCCCAATGGCCAAAACAGGAGCAGCGGGTGGATTGGTAGTGGGTGCAACAGACTTATCCTTGAGATTGCTCTCAGCAACCCTAAGGAGACCTTGGAGCTTACTTAGGGTGACCTCTTCTTTGTTCATGTGGTAGGTCATCCTAAATTGGTTGTAACACGAAGGCAATGAGTGAAGCACCATGTCGATTGCCAAGTCTTCCCCAAAGTCAACATTCAACTTGCAAAGACGATCGACATACCTTTGCATCTTTTGCAGGTGCATGGTTAGAGATTCACCATGACCCATCTTAGTGGAGATCATGTTAGTGAAAATCTCGTAACATTCTTCCCTCGTGTTTTGGTGGTATCTCTCCAACAAGTCTTGGTGCATTTCGTACTGATACATGTCCTCGTAGGACTTTTGGAATTCGGAGTTCATATTGGCTATCATGATGCAATGAACCTTCGTTGCATCACGCTCAAGAGTTTCAAAAGCGGTGATTTCAGCCGGAGTAGCGATTTTAGGATTGATTTTCTCGAGCTTTTCATCGAGGACATACTCCTTGTCCTCGTAGTGAGCAATCGTGTGAATGTATCTTATCCATTCGCTAAAGTTCGTTCCATCGAAAGTCACCTTTTGGTAAAGGCTCATCAATGTGAACGAGCTTGCAGCAACGTTGTTCGCATTCGACATCTACAAATAGAAAGGACAAAGATAGATTAGAATTTGGATCCATAATTATCACCCAATAAGAAATTTAGGGCTAGGATCCAACAATAATATTCACATATTAGAAAAGGGATGCCTTAATCTAACATGTAAACAATTTGAAGGTAAGTGAATGACGATTCACTAATTCTCCACCATGAAAACATAACTTTAAGTTCTAAATGTATTGTGAATTCCTAGGTTGGGATGAGATTCATTGAAACTTTTCAACGGCATGTTTAAATCTCGATATGCCCCTCTCATTTGTGACTGGGATACCAAGGATCACAAAGTGGGTGTGAATTACCATGCAAATTTAGATGGTGCCTTCATTGTAACAATCACCTATTCGATGTGCCGGTAAATGATTAAGGTAAGTATCAAAAGGATAAACAACAAGAAATCCCGAAATTAGCTCTTTCTGACGCTCGAACTCGCCGAGTACCACAATGGACTCGCCGAGTCCACTATGGGACTCGCCGAGTTCATCAGGTAGAAACACAAAATTCTAATTTTTCAAGCATCAAACAAGCAACCAATGCATCAATTCAATAGAAACCAATCTAGGCTCTGATACCACTGATGGGTTTTGGCCATATGAACATTCCTATGTGCACATACAAACCCTAATGCTTGGATCTAGGTTTCTCTAATTGAACACGCATGAATCCAAGACTTCTAATGGTTATTCTATCATAATAACAAAGAGAAATCAGAGTTATGAGTTTACCTTGAATCACTTGTTTGATCTTCTTGTCCTTGGAGCTTTAGAGTCACAATTGTCACTCCTCTAATGGCTTACAAACACCAACTAGCAAGAGGATGATTTGAGAGAGTGGGGAGGGACTTAGAAATCGGCCAGGGTTTCTCTAGAGACAAGAGGTGCCAATTTCCATGACCCCTAGCGTCTATTTATACTTGTAAGTCTCCTAGGGTTTCACCTTTAAACCCTAATTGGATAACTTCAACCCTAAGCAATCCTAATCCCTTTCATGATAACCTTGGATGGATTTTAGGTCTATCCTAAGCCCCTAAAATCGTCCACCCCATTATCCATAAGGAATTATAGCCTAAAGTACAACTATCATACACTTGACAGTTTATGCGCTTCTATTTAATTAATCTCTTTAAGTCACCAAATTAATTCCTAATTAATTTATGACTTGTATTAATCAAATAACAATATTATTATTCCTTATAATATTTCAACTCTCATTGTAAATCATCCTATCAAGTTGCTATGGTGAAGGCAACCCAAAAGGACCATTCTCAATCGGGTCAAATACTTGCTTAATATAGTTGCAGCCTTAGACACTATTCCAACAAAGAGTGCGGTGGGTAAGAGTGGATACCCATTCAATCACCATTTTATAGGCAATTACCCCTACTAACGGTAAGACTGACTTTTACTCATACATATATATATATATATATATATATATATATATATATATATATATATATATATATATATATATATATATATAATGTTAGAGTTTTAATGTTATATATAGTATAGGGTGTATTTTACACTTTTAAAATACTATGTGGTCAAATTTAACAATTATACTTTTAATTCAATTAAATTGTAAACCAAAACTTTATGGATTTATTAAATCTCCTTTAATTATACACCTTAATTAATTAATAAAACCATAAGGGTGTGATTTGAACTTTTCAAAACAATACTAGGGTTTTAGAATTTAGCATTCCTAAATTAAACTTTTAATCAACTTTTAAATTCCAAAACTTGATGGAAAGTCTTGAAACATTTCAAAACATTAGGGTTTAGAATTTAAATATTTCAAAATCAAACTTTTTAATCAAAATTTAAATTCCAAAACTTGAGGACAAGTTTGAGACTTTTCAAAACACTAAGGTTTCAACTATTTAAATTTCAAAACAAAAACTTGTGAGTTCAGATTTAAACTATAAAACCTAAAGGGGAAAATTGAAACTTTTCATAACACAAGGGTCAAATAACAAATAATATACATCAAACAATTAATTTCATCATTATCTATATTTGACCTAATTTCAATTTCTTGCAAAGTAAGTTATCCAATTAATACAAATAATCAAACTTTATAATATAAGGAAGTTATTATCTAATCAACTGGTAATTATCTTTTGTTTAATCAAGGATATACTCATAAATATGTATAAAATCGGATTTTAATGACCTAAAACAGATAAGACAACTATCCACGAGTAAAACAGCAAGAAATCCCGAAAATATCTCCATCTAACGCTCGAACTCGCCGAGTTGAGGCCTACTCGCCGAGTCCACATTGGAACTCGCCGAGTTCATCAGGCAGGGGCCAAAAAACCAATTTTTTAAGGCTTGAACAAATAACCAAGGCATCAATACAATAGAAACAAATCAAGGGTCTGATACCACTGATGGGTTTTTGCCATAAGAACATCCTATGTGCTCATGCAACCCTAATGCTTGGATCTAGGTTTCTCTATTGTACATGCTATTCATCCAAGACTTTAAACCCTAGATCTAGTATATGATAATTAATATAACATATGAATTAGGGTTTAGATCATACCTTGATTGTTATGTAGCAATAACAATCCCAAATCCTTCTTGTAATGACTTTAGAAAGCTTAGAGTCACAAATGTCACTCCTCTAATGGTTCACAAACACCAAGAGAAAGAGGATGAAGAATGAGAAGAGAAGAGACACCCAAAAAACGTGTAGAAACCCTAAGGATTCAGTTGCCCATATTTTTGGTGCCCAAGGGGTCCTTAAATAGTGAGGCTATTAGGGTTATCTAACAAGGAAAACCTAATTTTGATGCTTAGGCCCTAAGCAACCCATGGACTCCTTCCTTAAAGGCCTAGGACGATTTCTAATAGGTTTCCCCATAGAATTCGTCCACCCCTCTAATATGGAGTCCATTAGCCCAATATTCAACTATCACACAATTGACAGTTCTAGTTCCTTAAGTTTAATTAATGTCTTTTAGTCACAAACTTAATTCTTATTAATTCTTGACTAATATTAATTAAACAATATGATTTCTTCTTTAATATATTTTTCTCATAATATATTAATAGATCACAATTAATCCTTTATCTCCATAATTCATCCTATCAAGTTGCTTTGGTGAAGGCAACCCAAAAGGACCATGCACCATCGGGTCAAGTACATACCAATATAGTTATGGACTTAGACACTAATCCAACAGGTTTTGATATCTTACTTGATTAAGTGAATAGGATTGATAAAGTTTTAAACTTTATCAATTAAGACGTTTTGGAATTTTAGATTTGAGACATGGAGCTCCTATCTTAAACGGTTAATTGCTTAATAGGAAAGGCTATTAAGGCAATTTTCACGACGTGACTAGGTTCATGGCTTGTGGCACGAGCTTTGAGAAATTGTGGCTATTTTTCACAAAATGTTTGTGGCGTGACAAGGAGCTGGTCACGACAATATTGTTATCCATCAATCAATTGAATTCACACACACACACACACACACACACACACACATATATATATATATATATATATATATACATATATATAGGTTCATTTGAGACCACCTATATTTTGTGAGACATGGGGACCAAATCTTAGCCTTTGATCAGATTTGATCTTGTGGCTCATAAAAAAAAGGATTAACATTAATTAATCTAGCTGATTAGTTAATTAGGGGTAGATTAGTCACTAGGTTAAATTTAAGATATCAGGTTAGCTTAATTTTCACGTCATCCAGAAATCATCTCACCTGTTCATGTGTTTCTACCAATTTATACGATGAAACAACATTCATTGTTCTTCAATTCAATTTGATCGATATTATATCTCCAATCTTATATTATTTCAATCGATAATTGATTTGATTTTTGACATTGATCGAACGATGCTAAATCAGAGCTTTTAAATTCATGATTTTTGTGTTATTCGAGTTCATGTTCTTGATTCTTCTTCATCTACAATTGATAAGCTGAGTGATTTTGATCAATTTTAACTTTGTGATCATCGATTTCAGTAGAGGTTCAAGTGTTCAACGATTTCTTCTAATCCTCATCTTCAACAATTGTTTACGATCTTTCAAGCCGTGAATTTTACTCAACATCATGAAATCGTCAATTGATCAAGGTTTGAGTTTTCATTGATTTCACTTTTAGTTGCATATAACGTATTCAATTTTTAACCTAGTTCATGAATTGAATCATCAAGCTATTATCGATTTCTCCAATTTTATATTTGTATGATTTGTGATTTCAGAAATCAAACATCATCTTTTGTTGAGACATCCAATTCAGCAATCAAAGATCATTTGTTGTTGAATTTGTTTGAGCTAGAAAACAATTTAATCTATAATATGTTGTTTGACAATGCATCACCTATTTCATTGTTTGTTTTTTAACTTTTCATTTAATCATTATGTTTTTCAGCAATATGTCATCTGTTTTCTTTTGATTAACATCATCTATTTGCTTTTCATTAACATCATCTTAGTGATAAGTTCATGATAAGTTCATGAGACTCCATGTTATTCTTATAGAATATTTTACATACATTGATATATCAATAATGATAACAGTTATGGATGATTTGGATATGCATGACATCGAAAACAATCATCTTGATGAAGAAAATCATTAGTTCGGTTATATTGATTCAGAGTTTCTTCATAACGAGGAAAATCAATCGGAAACCCAAGGTAATCATTGTTTTCATTGTTACTTGCATATAACATATTCAATTTTTAATGTAGTAACAATTATGTATGATTTAGATATGAATGACATCGGAAATGATCATTACGATGAAGAAAATCATCAATTCAGATCTGGTGATTCAGAGATTCCGGATAATGATGGAAATCAATTGGAAATCCAAGGTAATTCTGTTACTGATATCGGTTATTCTTTATAGAATGATGTTGGTGATAAGTTCATGTTACTGCATATTATGCTTATAGAATAATGCACATATAAGATTGTGGTTTTTTATGATTACATTCATATGAATGCAAATTATTATGATTATATGTTAACATGGTAGTATATTCTTTTTTATAGTTCAAAGTGACAATGTTGCAGCACAATATGGCTCTTGCAAACAATTAATTGGAGCTGATGGTTCTTTATTTTGGATTCCAGAGGTTGAACCTGGTTGGATACCTACTTTGGGTTCAATTTTTAAAGATATCAAAGATGCTATTAAGTGGTATAAAGGATATGCATTAAGATCTGGTTTTTATATTAGAAAATCAACAAAGAGGAAAAAGAGTGGAATCACAACTTCGAAATATTTTATATGCAATAGAGGGGGATTGCCAAAAACTTTTACCTTAGACACAATTAGTGATGATCATAATAAGCAATTGAGAAATAGTAATTGTAAACGCACAAATTGCAAAGCTTTTGTTGCATTCAAAGCTATACCACATTCTTCAGAAGTTTACCTGTGGCGCTTTGAACAACAACACAACCACAAATTGATCAATCAAGATTGTATGCATCTTTCAAGAGCTAAACGTCAGTTGAATGTTGTTGATCAAGCTTTTATACATAAGCTTTCGAGTGCAAAGGTGGGGGAAACTACAACATATAGACTAATGTGCGTTATAAAAGGAGGATGTGAATTTGTTGATGGAATAGAGATAGATTGGAAAATTTTTAAAAGGGATATAAATTGTCACATCGGGGGCACTGATGCAAATTTGTTGATTACAAAGCTTCAGAATCGTAAAGAGAATGTTACAAATTTTACATACGAATACAGATGTGACAAGAAGCAGTTAAATGCTCTCTTTTGGGCTGATGACACTTCAAAACAAAACTTTGAGTTATTTGGGGACGTTGTTTCGTTTGACGCAACATATCGTACAAACAGGTATTTATTCTGGAAATATAAACATTTTTAGTTATATATTCTAATGGTATTTTTTGTGTTTTTTTAGGTATTGTATGGTATTTGTACCTTTTACTGGCATTGATAATCACAAAAGGTGCGTCACTTTTGGAGCTGGTTTGTTGTGTAGAGAAGATACAAATTCCTATATTTGGTTACTTCGGTCATTCTTGAAGTGTTTTGGAAAAGCACCAATCATGGTCGTGACCGATCAAGATCAGCAATGAAAAAAGCTATTGAGATAGTATTTCCATACACAAAACATAGATTTTGTATGTGGCATATCACAAGTAAACTTCCATTGAAGGTACTAACATTATTGTTATATTCTTATCAGAATATTAAATGAAATATTTTTTGTAATTAGGATAATAGATTAAATGAAATGCCTTTTTATACTATATTATATTCTAACAGAATAATATATGAATTGTTTTTGAAGGTAAGCTGGGAAACAATGAATGAATCAGATTTTAAGGCGGACTTCAATAGTATAGTATGGGACTCCAAAATTGCTGTCAATGATTTTGAAATGAGATGGGATGCATTAATGGTAAAATATAAGTTGCAAGACAATAAATGGATGAAAGATATGTTTGATTTGAGAAGCAGTTGGATTCCAGCCTATTTTAAAGATGTACCGATGTCAGGTCTAATGAGAACAACTTCTCGGTCAGAAAGTGAGAATTCAACATTCAATAGGGTATCGCATCATGGTTATACGTTAAACAATTTTATGAATGCTTTTGAGTCTGTTATGGAAAGGCAAAGGAATAATCAGATCAAATTTGATTTTGATACATCTACTATAATTCCAATCATCAAAACACCTCTTGAAGATATGGAGAAACATGCATCTATGGTATACACCAGGACTATTTTTCTCATGGTGCAGAGGGAGATTCTTCATTCACTTGTTTCTTGTTCACAGAAGAGTGTTACATCAGGCGTTGTTTCTGACATATGCATTGTCAAACATAAAAGGACAAATATATCAAAGAAGAAGGTAGTAGTTGAGAAAAAAGAAAAAGTTGACATCGATTCTGAATGGAATTTTAACACAAGTGAAGGTGATTTTGAGGTAATGTTGACATTTTAGAATATACTTAATATTCTAATAATTTTGAAAAAATATTCTAATTTTTCTTTTTTGAATATGCTTATTATGCTAATACTTTTTGAAACAGGTTGAATTCAACAGAGAAGATCTAACGGTGAAATGTTCATGCATGCTTTTTGAGCGGTTTGGAATTTTTTGTAGACACATCTTCTGTATTCTAAAGATTTATGACATACAAGAGATTCCGTCAAGATACATTCTTAAGAGATGGAGAAGAGATATTATCCCCACCACAGTTTTGAAAAGGACGTTTAGATATAGTGATTCGTCTGGAAATGTTGAGAAGGTTGCATACAAAGCTTTTTCCATGCTTGATCAATGCTGTCTTCATTAAGTAATGATGACAAGAAGTTAGAAGAGTTCATGCAGAAGCTTGAAGTTTTTATGACTGATATTGGTGAACAAGGTTCAGACAAATTACCGGTTACAAAAGAAGCTCATATTGATAAACTTTACGGAGCTACTACGAATCCTGAAGTTGTTGATGTTGAAAATCCACCTATGGTGAAGAATAAAGGTTCTGGTACAGGAAAACGTTTAAAAAGTGCTTTGGAGAAGGCTACTATTCAAGGTAACAAGCAATCAAGATCATGCAAAACATGTGGGGTTAAAGGGCATAATTCAAGGAAATGTTTGACATTGTTGAATAACTCCAAGGTACAAAGTGCATAGTTGTGTCTAGAAATATATTTCGATTTTTTTGTATTTCAATAAAGTTCAATAATACCATATAGATAAAAGTTTGAATTTTTTAGTTTGGATTTTTTTCTATTGTTTTGGTTTGTGATGATGTATGAGACATTTGGGTTGTGATGATGTGTTATACATTTGAGAACATATTGATTCTTCTAATATTTTCAATCTTTAATTTTTTGAAGTATATACGAATGATTGCAGTATAATGCTTTGTTATCAAAATATTATAATACAAGATTATGCATGTAAGAATGTTATATAGGTATATGCAACATCTAATATTATTCTAATAGAATACTGATGCCATTATACATTATTCTATTAGAATATTCTACCATGGTCATTAAGAAGTGATCATAATACCTACTATACATTAAGCATTAATCACCTAATAAACCATATCATTAAGAAGTGATCATAATACCTACTATACATTAAGCATTAATCACCTAATAAACCATATCAAGTTTCTTACATAATACTAGGCATCGTTTTTTTTGTCTAATTTGTTCAAAATAATACAGATATTAGAAAAGGAATTGTTGTTAAGTCACCATAACCACATTTATAAAATTCCAAACTTCTATCAAATTCTATTTACTACCCATTTCCAATTCATCCATCCTTTGGATACCTTCCTCTAACATCTTTTTTCTAGTCGCATGATCAAATTTTCCAAATTCGATTGCCTCTTTGATAAATCTATCCTTGTGGTTGTTGATTTCATGTGTAGCAATCTTAACAGCATATAAGGCACGTAATTTTACAAATTGAACATCTTGCACATCACTGCCTTTTTCCATTTCCACATTCCACTTTCCTTGCTTTTCTCCACAATATTTTTCCATATGTCTCATTAAAAGTGCTCCATTCTCTGTTGTCAACTCCTTTGTGTTCCAGTCAATTTTCATCATCTTCACTGTTGTTGATCGCAAACCTTTGATTTTATTGATGATAAATGTAGTTTTCTCCAAATATCGTATAAAGTACAATTTCTGCAATGTATATTAACAAAATTACATTATTAAATATATTATATTGTAACTTTAATACAATTAATAAAAGTAAATGAAAACTTACTAATGATGTTGGTGTCATTCCATAAGTTTTTTCTAACGATTTTGTTTGTATGCTGTCTATAATATGAACTTGTGGATATGTTAGGTTGAAAACAACAGCATACATCTGATCACCGTTATGTATTGGGAAAACCACCTGCAATTCCAACAAATTCATCAAAAAGTTAACATAATTCCTATCTTTTAATAATGTAATATTTTAATTAATAAAATATTCTTACGAGTTTAAGATCATTGAAATCTACATTTGCCTTGAAATTAGATAGAAACTTATCAACACGAGTCTCAAAAGTTAAAAAACGCTCGTCAAAAGATTTAGTTTCATCTAACAACTCAGAACTCTGTAAACATAGAAAAACAGAAAAATTAGAATATCTTGTTACAATTTACAACTAAAATATAGAAGTTCCAATTGTAAAAGAATTTACCATAATTTTGGTATTGAAGAACAGGCGGTATGGTTTACTTTTTGATTTTTGTTCCTCGTAATTTAGAACAGCAGCCCAAGAATCAATCACACGATGATGTATAACATGTTCAGGCCGCATGCTCTCAAAATCCTGTCTATGCATAATCTCTCCCGTATTTGTTTCAAAAAGTACCTCCCTTAATTTTAAACATGAACAAAAAATATGTCATCAACATTAGAATAAATATACACATGTATTATACCAAGAGTTAGTGACTTACATTCTATTTTTCTCCTGTGCACATCTTATTAGAACCTGAATCAAAAGAACATTCTGCAAATCGATTCTATCAAATAAATTCACAGCTTTATCCATATATGGTGATTTGTAAGAACTTATATAATTCTCCCCTGTGTCACCATTTTGAGATTCAACCCTTTCATGTGATCCCTTTTTTTGTTTTCATTGTTTTGATTATCAGCACTTGAAAAAATAGGATCTGAAAATAACTTAATGAACTTCTCTTTCAATTCATTTGTTATATTGACATCTCGGAACTTTGATATACAATCAAAAACAATTCCATACATGTCCTCCTTTATTGATGAAACTTTATTGAACATCTTATCAAAGTTATCTTTATATTCCTGAAAAATAATAAAATAATATAATTATGAGCATGTAATATTTTATCATCTCAGAATATCTAGAATATTTACTATGAACCATAAGCATGTAATATAAGAATATCCAGATTTTTATAAAATCATACTTTAACCTAATATAAAAAGACATTAGAATATTTTTCTTATATTAAGTTACGATATAATTAAAATACATTCTAAAACATAATTTAATAATATATTCTACTTAGAATATACCTCAATACGCGTGTCCTGATTCTCATTCACCTGATTTTCATTATTCTCAAGTTCTAAATTTGAACTTTGTTCAATTAGATTCCCAACCCCAAATCCACCAGCTTCAATCTCAAAAGATTGTCTTTCCTTCAACTTATCTGCTGTCCACATCGTAACTAATGGTGTTTTACGTTCTATTTTTTGGAGCTTGCATTCAATTTCATCACAGTAAATTAGCTGCATTATTTCAACATCATATTAGATATCCATTTTTAAGAAAAAAAATAAGTATATGAAAAAACATACCAATAGCAACAACATCGGGCCTTTATAATAACACTTGGGGTTGTCTGGACGCCATCTCCCTTTTGAATTTTTCACACAGTACAACAAATATGCACACCAATCGATTTTAGAAATGTCATCTACTTCAACAAGTGCTCTAACTGGAACTAAGTTGTTTGTCCCCATAGGAATGGATTCTGCAAACGTATTAACGAATAAAGCTATGAAACCCAGCTTGAAATTCATATCCACTTGTTCGGATTTTTGAATAATCTTCTTGTAGTTTGTTGCATTTGCCTTTCCATCTTCAAGTTCCTTCATCCATCCATCAAACACTTGATGATCTTCACTAACCTTGTCCAAATCAAATAAGCTTTTTCCAGTTTTGGGTAAACCAAACACTTTATGAATTTTTTCCTTTGTGATCTTTATTCTTTTTCCTTTAATCAGAATACTGTTTGTGCCTTCATCATAATGATTAAGCACAAAATGGCAAAGTTTTAAGGGAATACTCTTAATGTTGATCTTCAAAAAGGCTTTAAATCCCATCCGTTTCACCCAATCTTTTTGTTCTGATGTCAAAGAACTTACAACATCTGTCATCAATCCAGGTGTCGATCTAGTGTTTATTGAAGGCAACTCCTTCAATATATCTTTCACAGTCTTTTGCTCTTTCACGGTTTTTTGTTTCTTTATTGCTGCACGATTGTCCCCACTATTCGTCTTCCGTTTTCCTTCTTTAATCTTTGTCACTACAAAGTAATATTCCAAACAGAATATTATACATATACACTTATTATATCAGAATATTCTATGAAATTTAATCCAAAAATACTATATCATCTAAGTAAAATGTAGATATTTATTCAAAATATATTTTTATAAAAATTTAAACTCAAATGTTGCAAAATCCTATATCAGCTAAGTAAAACAACAAAAAAATCAAGTATAACATGATTTATGATATAATAATATATAGAATGTGTAATATGAACCATAAATATTTCATATCATAGAAACATACTTTCACATCAATAAACAATAGAAAAATACTTTCACATCAAAATACCAAGAATTTTCAGTTATGATCCATAAGCAATTGATGTCAAACATAATATTGTTCCATAATATTGGAATTGTAAAGTATAAAATCATAATGATGTAAAATGCTTATGCTAACTCTAATTGTAAATGCATAATCAATAATAACAAATATGAATTTTATCTATATATGACATTCTTGCTATTAGAATAACATTAATACACAAGATATTATAGTACAAATACAATAATTGATGATATACCTTTTTTTTCTTTGGCTTTTGCTGTTGTATTGGCTGATTCATCAATAAGCTTCAATGATTTTCTTCTTTCAATTAGTCGTTCGGCTATTGAAGTCTTTTCATGAGTTTTATCCATATACAACATTCTTGCTGTTTATTGTCATTTTCATAATCAAATTAGGAAATAATAATTGATTTATCATATCCAAATATCTAGAGTAACATTTAAAATATTCTACTAGAATAAGATTAATAGAACATAGAAAAACATTAATAGAATATTTTATATCATATTTGTAATATATAGAATAGTTTATTAAAGTATATAGAATAACATAAACAAATTAGATTAACAATTAAAAATATTCTATTAGAATAAAATTAATAGAATATAGAAAAACAATAATAGAATATAGAATATTTTATTATAATACATAGAATAACAGAAATAAATGAGGTAAATATTTTTATTAGAATAGAATAATTGATGATATACCTTTTTTTATTTTTCTTTTGATGTTGTAGTTGTTAATTGATGGATCGACTTCGATGATTTTCTTTTTTGAACCAACTGTTTGCCTGTTGAAATTTCAACTTCACTACTTCTACCCAGTGTCATCATTTTTATTTTTGATTTTGTCATTCTTGTTATAATATTATCTGCATGAAAATAATTAATGTTAAATACAATTTAAATGTAATCTGTAATAGAAAAACACTTACATTTATTTCAAAATTATATTCTAACTCATCATAATACATACACACAAAGAAAACAACATATAAAGATACACATAATAAATTTAAAGCAAATTGACCAATATGCCCCTGCACTGTTTCTTTATGAGATTAAAATTACTCGAATTTTCTATAAACACAGTTACATACATACACATTAAAAACAGAAGCAAATTGATGAATATGTCCCTGTACATAGTATTTTTTCCATCCACTTACCCTAGTGATGCTTGACTTAACCATGCATAAAGTTTATATAATGATTAAAGTTTTGTGTAAAAGAACAGTTAGAAGTTGAATCACATAGTAAGATGTCAAAAGTGGAATGATAACTCTCTATTTTATCAGAAAATGCAGAAAACACATATAATAACTTGATTGTTAATTACACAATTTTGTTTTTGTTTATGTGATGAGTTCATACTAATTCAGATCAAGTTCTGAATTATTAGAGGACATAATATGCAATTGTTTAATGGAAAAACTTTATTATTCTTATTCAGACCAAGACCACCAGGACCAATACCATGAGAATGTTTCTTTTCATATCTGCCTTGAAAGCATTGTGTATATTTCCTTTTTCACATACACACAAAATCTCAAAAGTAATAAATAAATGTGTTTGGTTGAAATCAAAACTGAATGCCCCTGCAAATAGATGAAAGGCTAAAGCTTTATTTATCATTAATCC